CCCCCCCCCCCCCGCCCCGGGGATGAGTGGAAGGTGTGGAGCCCAGAGAGGGCTCAGGTGGGCAGCCCCCCAACCTTGAGGGATGAGGGCCCCGGGGACAGAAGGGACGGGGTGGAGGTCGGGGAGCCCGTGGAGATGTGGCCTGCAGCTCAGTCCCGGGAGGTGTGCACGCAGCGTGGTTCCGAGGGGACCCAAGCACGGCACAAACGTTGGCTAAAATGTCAGTGAGACGATTCCTCGGCAGGCCCCTGGGTAAGGAGCGGCTTGCAGCTCCAGGAGCCGTCCGTGGGCGGGGGGGAGACGAAGGGACATCCAGGCTGGGTTCCCTGCGCGTCTGTGACTGTGTCTGGTGCTGGGGGGGGTTGGTATCCAGGTCCCTGCCCGTGCACAAGTGATACTCTGTGCGTGTGTGAGGGCCCTGCCAGCAAGCCCTCTGTGCTAGGCTGCCCCAGCCAGTGGGTGCCAGGCCACTCGGTTAAGCTGGTCTGGAGGGCCGGCCTCAGCCACTGCTGCAGATGCTCCCAGGCAGCAGGTGAGCCGCTGAGGAGACCTCCGGGGGTGCATGGCTGAGTGCTGGCGGTGGCTGTCCCCCAAGAGGTGGCTCTGGGTGAACCTGAGGGCTGGCTGGTGTGCCCTCACGGCGCGCGCGCGCGGGGGTAGCTGCCCGTGGGGCACCGGGAAGAAGCTGGGCAAAGGCGGGGCAGTGGATGTGATGGGGCAAGGCTGCGGGAAGGCCCTGGGTGGGTCCCGCCACCCCTCACTTCCTTCCGTCTCCTCTGCTGGGGGCGGGAACACGCAGACCGAGATTTGGAATCACGTCTCTGGGTGGCCACTTGGTGTCAAGGGAGGGTCCTGAGCTGGAGTCTGGCCGACCTGGGCTTGAATTCTGGCCCTGGGGCAAGGCAGCAGAAGGCCCTGGAAAGAGTCATGACCCTCATTGTTGCGGAGGACCCAGGAGGGTAGGCCCGTGCTTGGAAGTGGCTGCCCAGATGGTGAAGGGGCAAGAGCCGCTGGGTGGTTGGGCTATGGCAAGTCTGAGGCGCTAGTGGAACGGCTAAGGGGACGTGTACGGCGGGGAGCAGGACCCACAGGCTGCCGATGCAGGCTGCGGAGACCTCCGGGTCCTGGGGTGACTGAGCGCCCAGCAGCGGACGTGGATGCCCAGAGCGTGCTGGCGGAGAATGGCCAGAACTTCCGGGGATGCTGACCTTTTCAGGAGTGTCCCGGAAAAGACCCGGAGAAGAGGTAGCAGGAAGCGGGGAGGGGGGGATCAGGAGGAAGCATGTTAAGACACCAAGTTGAATAGGGACCGTCAGTGAGTAAGGAGGGGTCACCGGGGTCTCAAGAAAGGCTGGAGCGTTCGGGCAGGGTAGTGGCGGAACGGGGGCGCAGCAGGAGTGCAGAGCTGGGGACAAGCCCGCTCTGGACGGACACCAGATGGGGGGGCGGCATGCTCAAGGGAGGGGTTTTTCAGGAGGATGCTGCAGGATGGAGTATCTGCAACCCGGGGAAAAGCCTGTGCAGAGAGAGAGGCTGCGTCTTGGAGGGGGAGGGGCGACAGAGGGATGAGCGCGGGGCTTGGGGCTGGGGTGGTGGAGAGAGACCCCTCGCCTCTGAAAGGTGGCCCACGTCAGGTGGGTCTGAGACAGCCCCCCCTCCCCTTATGAAGCTTTATGGGACCTCGTCCTTCTGGGAGAATCCGGGAAGGGCTTTCTAGGGGGTGCATTTCAATTTCACAGAGGGGAGAAAGAAAGCAAAGCGACGTCAAGGTCAAGACTTAAGGAGACAACAGGGCTATGACTGCGGGTCAAGGCCTGATTTCTGAGTGCAGGGCGATCACATGCACAAACGTACCCCAATCGCGATCGGGTGGTGTCATACCCAGGGCTTTCCTGAACGCGGGGGACCCCTTTATTAAATCAGCCACCTGCGAGCCAGACGGGAGCCCTGGAGGGGCTCAGCGTGCACTGTCTCTCTGCCTGGAGGGATCTGAGGGGAGGTGAGCCGACAGCACACCCGCCCCCTCCCCACCTCTGTGCCCATGCGTCCCCACGGGTGGCCAGAGATGCCTCCCTGTGTCTGCAGATGCCCGCGCCTGGCTCTGCGCGTCCTCAGCAGGTCTCCTCCATGTCCTGCGGCCCTTGCTTCTTCCCACAGGCACGCGAGCACATTGTCCTCCCATCTGAAATGCACACCCTCCCCCCTCTTGACCCCACTGACCCCTCCAGCCAAACTCCCTGAAGAAGGTGCCTCGTCTCGAGTGTCCACTTCCGGAAACCCTCCCCGTCGGACTTGGACGCCCGCTCCACCAGCTGTCCTCGCCAAGGTCCCTGATGGCCTCACACCTCACTCCGTCCTCATTTCTCAGCCCTCATCTTACTGACCCATCAGCACCTGTTTCCAGGGCACTGTCCCGGGCCTCCTGCCCTGCTGGCCACTCCTTCTCGGGTTCCTTTGCTGGCCCTTCTCCCCTCTAAGCTCTGAACGCTGCTGCACCCAGTGCGCCGCCCCTGCGCGCTTTTCTCTCTCCTCTCATTCACTCTGGCCACCTCGGGTGCCATTTATAAGCCGATGACCCTCCAATGCATGTACATCTCCAGTCTACTCCTTTTCCTGGGCTTATCCTCCACTTGGCTGTCTAAGTGACATCTCAGACTTAACGGGTCCGAACTGAAGCCTGATTCCCCCCCCCCCCCCCCCCCCCCCCCC